GTTTTGGTCCTTGTTGAGTTGGGGATGTGAGAGCCCATGGGTGCAGTTCATGTGTTGAAAATACAACCTGGGGCCAAGCACTGTGAGATGTAAACTGGGAATACTTCAGCTGAGGGAGGACTGAGTGCAAGGTGTGTCCATAGGCTTGTGCTGTTTTCAGATCTTTCCATCATAACTTTCTGGTTTAGCATTTCCCCTTGTTCCAAGAGTGAAATAATTGGGGGGAGAAAAAAAAAAAAAAAGTGGCTCGTCTTGGATTTGAACCTGGTGTGATACGATCCCTGCATTCAAACTAGACCACAGAACTTAGAGTTTGACTTAAAATGATTTAAATTATTCCCAAATTGCCTGGTTTTGTGCTGAGCAGGAGAGGGATGGTAAAGCTGAGCACTGTGTTAATCTGTGTGTGCTATCTTGCCCCAAGCCCCATTTTCTTGCTTAGGTCAGTACATGGGTATCCTGGGCATCCAAAATCCATCTGATTCTTTGGAATACCCTAGGAGAAATTTAAGAAGCAGAAGTTTTCATGCCCTGGAACCAGGACAGGAGAGGGAGAGCTGATCAAGGGGAAGAGCTGATAGGGGAGGAGTTCTCTCTTTGGGCRATGTTCTTTCAAGTTTATCATGGAWAAAAAAAGGGTCTCTAATGAAATCAAATAGGGTTATTCTTTGTACCTATAGAATGAAGCAAGAGGGATCATCTTTCCTCTAGAAATCATAAAAAAGTCTGTAACAGGATTAGAATTGTATGATAGTATAGGGATGGATACATTAATAGCAACCTATAGTATGACCTCCCATTGCTTCCCAACACAAATACTAATTTTAGATGAAAAGGAGTTTGCTGGCCAAGAAACACTGAATGGACCAAAGATTACAAAAAGAGCAGAGGGAGGAAGAAATAGATGTTCTTCAAAAAAAATTACGTTTTGATCTTTTCCCTTGAAAAGAAAGAGAAAGGAAAAGCCAGACCCTTTTGRCTGCCTTTTGGGTGCTTTGTTCTTTTCCCTTGTTGGATATCTCTTCTGAGCTGTTTTATCCTGTTGTGTTCTTGAAAATGATTTCTGAAATGTCAAAACTTCAAGCCTCTTTTGTCAGGGCTTAAGCAATTCCACTGAACTTTGAAGGAGACCCCAGCATGAGAGACGTGAACTTCTGACGCCGCCTTAACTCCTCCRGCTTTGATCAGTGCTGGGGAAGGAGCGGAAAACACACACACAGAGAAACCCAAACAAATCAATCCCCTGAGGGGTTGCTGGACCTCGTGGAGCTGGGAGGGGGTTGTAACTGTGTCCTGGTGCTCTCCACGCTGCTCCATGGCATTGCCAACAGCATTTGAGGGACATGTCCTGCAATGGGTTTCCTGGGAGGTGGTGGAGGGTGGAGAGTTGTTGTTTTGTTGCTGTGTTCTCTTGTTTGGTTGATGGTTGTTTTACCCTGAGCCCTAAATGTCTCTGTTGAAGGGGGATTTCAGCAAATTTTTGAGTGGGAATCTCAAAATTTGTGTTTAGGAAGCCACCTGGGAGGTTGGCAGCCGAGTGGATGATCCCTCCAGATCTTCAGAGAGTGTCAGCGCTGGAGTCTGCTCTGGGAACTGAAAGTGTGCTTCTGATTGGGTGTGGGGGTGATTTAGAAGGGTCTGAAGTGCTTGAGGAAGGTTTTAGGAGGTGGTTTGCAGTGGGTTCTACACCCCTCAAGCCCCCCCCATCACTCTCCTACCCTCCATCAAGACATGCACGTTGGGGAAAACAAGCCCAGCTGATCTTCCCGGCAAGCTGCAGGTGTTTGAAACAGCTCTTGCTTAGAAAATGTTTGTTCTCAGTAGTGTCTAAAAAGATTTGTTCCTCAGCCTGCCCTTTGTGAACTTTCCAAGGTGGTTTTGATATGTGCGCGACAGCGACTTTTTGAAAACTGCTTTCTGTGTGGGGATTCTTTGAAAGCGAAGAGGAAAATTTTGTGAAAAGGCTTTGAAATCAACAGAATTTTTGCTTTCAAAATATTTGCAGAATGCCTTTTCCTGTTGTTTATTTCCCAGACAAGCTATGAAGGGGTCAAGAATGGGGTGTTTGTTTGTWTGTTTGTGTTTTCAATGGGAGCGAAGGTGATGAGTGTCTGTGAACATCTCTTGAAATCTTAGCACACACTCAGCCTCAGAGATGGGAGAAGTTTCCTTGCTGGGAGTTATCYTCTCCCTCCTCAGAGGAAGGGAGGAAGGAAAGGGAAGAAAAGAAAGGGAAGGAAGCAAACTAAACCCTTTAATTTCCCCAGGTTTGGGTTTTTTTTTTCAGGCTGAGGTAGAAAAATCTCCAATTTACACTAAGCATGAATTCAGGAATTTTGGATTCAAATGTTTTCACTTCTGCTTTTCAAACAAACACACAAAAAAAAAACAAACCTGAAAAACCTGATAATGAGGATAATTTATCAATCAGACTTACTAAAATCAAATTAAGTAATTAATCTTCAAAATATCTGGAGTTGGTATTTTGGGCTGGAGCACAAGTCTGATGAAGAGCAGCTGAGGGAGYTGGAGAAAAGRAGGCTCAGGGGTGACCTTTTCACTCTCTGGAACCCCCTGACAGGAAGGTGGAACCAAGTGGAGTTTGGCCTCTCCTCCTAAATAACAATAGGAGAGGAGGAAATGGCCTCAAGTTCCACCAGGGGAGGTTCAGGTTGGATAGAAAGAAAAATTTCTTCCCAGAAAGGGTTTGTCCAGCCCTGGCACAGCTGCCCAGGKCAGTGGTRGAGTCCYCATCCCTGRAGGGATTTAAACAGCGTGWGGATGTGGCAYTTRGGGACATGACCTGGTCACCTTGGGAGARCAGTTRGRTTYRATGGTCTGAGAGKTCTTTTCCAACCTAAATAATTCCACATTGGGGATCTCCAGAGGTCCCACCTGACCATGGGCTCTTTCCCTGTCTGCAGCAGCTCCAGGGCCAAGATGCTGTGCCCGCTGCAGCCACCTCCATCTCTCTGAATGTTAATGATGTGTCTGCTTTGTGTCGGGTTTGCTTCTGTTCCTTCCAGSCTGTATTTTAACCAGAAGTGGGGTTCATTAAGTAGGGATTTAATCGAGAGCTGCTGGTTTCGCTCTTCRGTCCTTGGGTGCAGAGGGAGTTGTCTGTAGCCGAGTCTCAAAACAACTTTACGTGCTTCCCAAGCTTTCCTCTTTATTAGGGAGCTGCAAAAATCAGGAGGAAAACAAAATTGACGGGTTACTGCACAGACACCTACACGTAAATAGTAAACATTCCCAAAGGGTTCACGATGCTTTTCTGTCTGGTAAAAGGAACCAGCAATTGTTGTTATTGTTATTTAAAGCTATCTTTAAAAATTCATCCAAAAGAGTAATTAGAGATAGAACCACGTGGCTCTGAGAAACTTCTTTGTGCTCAGCGTTTTTGCTCTTTCCAGTGGTGCTGRGGGGTTTACCCAGGGATTTGCTGCTGTGTCTGATTGAGATGTATCCTGCAGCCTTGGMGGGGCAGCTCCTGCCTTGCAGTGTCTCCAGAACTGCAGGAGCCTGAGCCTAATTCTCATTTGCTTGAGCAGTCAGTGCTTGGCAGSCTCCACTGGCTTGGAGTGCAGAGATACATCTCTGAATATGTTTGTGGTAAATAAACATTCAGAGTGTCAAAGAATGGCATTTATGTGAAATTAGGGCTTGRATTTGGGTGGTGCTGAGATCTTGGGATGCCTGAAAATGAGGTCACTCCCTGGGATGCTTTGCTTGCTTTATCTTTGCATGGATGAYGTGGGGCAGGATGAGGGTGAGGAGGGCTCCCTCTTGCAAAGCATCAGRGATCTTCTTCAAAAGGAGATCCAGAGTTTGTGTTCARGTAGGTTCCTGTGGRGTGGCTGCTGCTGTGGGTTTATTGTCCTGCTTTTTTTATMTCTTGGCTTTCTTCAAAGTAAGTTGGTGCTTAGAGAAATGATGTCACAGTCCTTTACTAAGGTCAYGAGCCTGAAAGTTTCATGATGATAGGCCCTGGATCTATGGACTTTCTGTCCTTGGATAATCTCTGAGAAAGAGTTGAATCTTCAGACAGTGGTTGTGAATTTTCCCCACAATGCAAGTCCTCACACTTAGTGGAAAGGTGGCTGTGGGTTCCTGGGCTACCTGGCAGCTCCCCTTGCCCATCCTTCCTTGCAGGTTTCTTCTCCCCTCTTTTTAGAGGGTTTTACCCTGGTAAGTTTTGCAAAACACCACTTAATGGCAGAGGTTTTTTGGCTCCCCTCTGATCTGTGCAGCACTGTTATGGAGGCAGTCTTATAATCAATGTAATTGAAGATCAGAGTTAATGAGGACCTCTGTGCCTGCAAAATCCCCCAAGCGATGCTGGGCCTCAGATGTTAGATAAGGAAATGATTGGGCTGAACTGAAAATCTATTTGGCTAATTAGATGATGCATATTCCCAGATGCCAGTGGGGAAAAATACATTTCGCAAAATAAAGAAGCGTAAGATTTCATAAGAAAATATTTTTGGCAGGAATTCACTTCTAACTCACAGGAGGGAGAGGGTGGGGGAGTGTCTGGTTTGAGAAAACTCAAACAAGAAGTTGTTTGGGCCAATTCACTCACCTTGAGCTGAGGATGTGAGGTGGGAGCAGCCCAGGTGTGCCCTGAGCTCCAGGTGCCTCCTGGACACCTCCTCCCTGAGCTGGGGCAGYGATGCTCTGATTGCAGAGCAGAATAATTGCACTGGCCCACATTTCTGCAGAGAGTGGGAATCAAATCCCAGCAGTGTGAGGGTAGGGAATGTCTGGGCAGTGAAGAAGGTGGATCATTTGCTGGGGCACATTCCTCTAGAGAGAAATGATCCAGTGAAATTCTTCGAGTCCAGGTGTTGGTGAACTCATTATTATTTTGCAGGTATTGTCATCACAACAGCTCCTGAAGARTGCAGTGCTCTGATATAGGGCCAAAACGCACCTTTGGGTTTTTTTTCTTTTAAATTTCCACACTCACCTAACACACTTTTTTTCCCCACTCCCCGCAGGCAGCAGCTTCGTTGTGAGTGAGGGGAGCTACCTGGACATCTCTGACTGGCTTAACCCAGCCAAGCTGTCCCTGTACTATCAGATCAATGCCACGTCCCCCTGGGTGAGAGATCTCTGTGGGCAGAGGACCACTGATGCCTGCGAGCAGCTCTGCGACCAAGACACAGGTAAGGGAGGCTGGGGGAGAGTGAACACCTTGGAAAACCTGGAGATGTGAGGGAGGAGGGTTTTGGATATTTTGATGCCATCATGGCTCAACTCTTCTATAACCTGGTGGCATAGGGAACTGAGGGGCACCAGCAGGGTAACACTGGGGTGATCCCCATCAGCAAATTGTAAAGGAGATGAGCACAAATGGGAATTTGAAAGGGTGGATCTACTCRTTCTGTGGTGTGGCAGCTGCAGGCATGTGGAGTTCATCTGCTTCTGGCTAGAGAGGTTTTGATATTTCCAGTCTGGAAAACCTCTTTGTGAGTTTACCCCCTCTCCACCCCTTTCCTCTCTGGCCATTCCACTGCAGAGCACCACGGTTCCCATCCCACAGCCTGGTGCTCACCAGGGCTGGATCCATCCTCCAGCCCTTCCTGGTGCAGCTGTGAGCTTCTTCACCTTTGAATGAGTGTTCTGCTTGTGTCACAGTCCTTGCTGGGACTCAGGTGTGGCGCTGGGTACAAAAGTGTCACCTTCCCTTCTGTCCTTGTTGGAGGACACATGGAGAGAGATGCCGGAGTCTGCAGTGAGCCAAACACACAGAAAACAGCAAATGTGCAACTGGTGAATGAGGGGAGGGGGTCTCTGTGGGTGGGAGATGAGTCTGAGACTCCAGCCAGCAGCTGGCCCTCAGGAGGGGACATTTCCTCAGCTGATGTGGCTGACAGGAGCTTGCACAGKAAGGTGGCCTGGGGACTGTGCTGTTTTCTTGTGCTGGGGAGTGCTGTGACTCGGGTGGGACACTTTCCTGGTGCTGTGGGGACAAGTGTCCCTGGTGCTCCTGGCCTGCTGAGCGTCTGAAGAACACCCAAACCCAGATGTCCTGGCAGAGCAGTGCCATCCCAGATCCGCCCTGGCCCTCTGGGTGAGCTGCTTCCCRCTCCAGTTTGTGTGTGAGGCTCATTTCTGCAGTGTCTGGTCCTGCCAGAGGGTTTGAAGGATGGCTCACTTTGCAGAAGGATTTTCCTGAGCCTCCCAAAGCCCCCRACTGTCGTTAACACACGGATTAGASTGAGAAATCCTTCAGAGTCATSMRYGCCTCATGGGATGGTGGGGTGACCCTGTTCTCATCCCTCCCTGCTCAGCTGAGATGCAAATACTGAACTTGGTCTTACAAACTCATTTTCCTGGTCAAGACAATCTTCTCTTCTTGGTGCTCCTGTTCCTCAAGGCTTGTCTGCACAGAGGCACTGCAGGCACGGCTGCAGCAGAATGGTGACACTGGAGGAATTCCCTGTGCTGACAGCCCTGGGCATCACCTGAAGTCCCAAGGAAGGCAGGRAGGTGACAACAGCAATGCTGCTGGCAGGTAGATTTGGTGCAGGAGGAGGCTTTTCTCATCCAGATGTCACAGAGCAGAAGGGTTTTTGTTTCAGGCATTGGCAAAATGCAGCGGGAGAGGAAAGATGCATTCAGCTGTGCCCTGGCTCAGAGGAGCAGAGAAACAGCTCTGCCTGCAGCAGAAACCCCAGGGAGAGCCTGGATGGAGCCAGCCCAYGACCTCCCTGCTGGAAGAGCCCCGTGGGTGCCCTGGGCAGCCCCAGCCTTGGCCGCGAGCAGGGCTGGCTGGATCCTGGTGTGGCCTCTGCTGCGAGGAGCAGCCGCTCTCCAGTGCCAGCCCAGCTGGGCTCCCGCTGTGTCCCCAGCTCCCAGAGCAGCTTGTCACTGTTGCTGGATGACCCAGCTCGGGCAGGATGTGTCAGATCGTGTTTGCAGGGAAGGCAGCGATGCTCGTTAYCCCGGGAGCAGCTCTGTCCCAGTGCTGTGCTGGAGCTGAGCCTTGGCAGCTGCTCCACRGCTCCCAGCCCTGCTGCCCATGGTCCCTGCTCACCCGTGGGCAGCCTGGATCTCAGCCCTCAGGTCCCTCACCTGAAACCTGTCCATGGGCTTCTTCCTCCTCTCTGCAGCCTGGGAGTGTGCACGTGGATAAACCAGAATTTTTCTCCTGGCTCTGCTGGCTGGATCTGCATGGATGGAGCAGGACTGGCTMATGGGGCTGCTGATCTTCACAGCTTATATCTAAGACTCCCTACAGAGGTCCACATCTCACAAGAACTGAAAATTAGGCCTTTGGAAGTACCTGCTTGACCCTCTATTCCAGGACATAGCCCCACACCTGCTCATCACCATTGACCAGTGTTTAACTGGTGAGGTTTCCCCACCAGGCTGGGGCAGGCTGTAACCCCATGACACACTGCACATAATTCTAGATTTATATTTAATAATGTCATCCTATTTTTAAGGGTGATTTATTTTTATCACCATGAGAGAGGAAGGCCTGTGGTTTTACTGCAGGACATAAATCCTGTCTGGATTTCAACCTTTTTGGGTCAGGGATTTTATCCTCTCAGTGAGCATCCCAAGTGCAGGGTGCCAGGGATTCCCTTGCTCTCTGCCTTCTCAGGCTGGACATGAGGACAATGGAAGTTTGTCCTCTCTGGAGGTTTAAAGCCTTAAAAGTTGCCCCTGGGAAGAGCAGCAGAGCCAGAATTGAGGTCCTCCAGCACTTTCATGGCTAATCTGGTTTCAGCCTTTCCCTTGGAGCCACTGTTCATGGCAGTGTGAGTCCAGCCTTGTCCCAAAACTTCCTTGCTCCAAGGCAGATCTCTGTGGGCAGGAGCTGCCCTTGGTGACAGTGCCATGAGCTCCTGACTCACCTTTGGGCTGAGAGCCCCAGGCCACACGTGCTCTGTCTGGTGAGACTCAAACTCTGACCTTTCCCAGCACTGAACACTTCTTTGGGCTGGAGTTTYTGTCTGTACAATATCCTGACTTGTGACTCCGGACATTGAGCACTCCTTCAGTGTGAAGAATCATTCCCAGTGAAAAGAGAGGCTCTGAAACACTAGGAAATGCCAAAATCCACTTTGTTGCCTGACCTTAATTTGCCTTCCCTCTCATCTCTGTCGTGTGACTCACTCTTTAATTAAATGATTGCTGCCCCCCTGACAAATCTAAACCTGTGTTGCAAAGCCCCAGCTCATCAGAGCATTTCAGAGGGAGCACTGACATCTGCACACGAGCAAAATGTCATCTCCCTCATCCCTTCTGCCTTGGAAACAGCCAAGCTGGTTGGTCTGACTGCAAATCCAGGAACAAATGGATGCTGATGGGGGGTTCCTCCCTGCAGAGGTGACACGGTGACCGTGCCCAGCTGCCACACTGGATGGGACAGACACGTCTCAGGGGCAGGATGTGCTCCTTGGCTGGAGATGTTCATCCAAAACGCCCCATCCTCCTGGCAGRTGCTGCCTGTGCTGTTTGAGATGAGAGCAGGGGAGGTTTGTTGTCCTGTGGGACTCGCTGTCAGCTCTCCTCGCTCTCCATATTTTGAGGAGATGCAGGGAGCGCTGCCGGTGCCGCCGCTCGTGCCACGCACTGGGATACCCCTGGGTAAAATCCAGGAGAGCTTGCTGCCTCTCTGGCCTCCCTTCCCAGCCTGGATGGGAGCATCCCTTTCCAGCAGCATATGCAAATCCTGATTTGTGAGCACAATTACCTGCTTTGTATGCACAAAACCGATTCACTTGCACATTCTGTGGGCACTGCTGGAGAGACCTGCTGGAGAATCAGTCCCTCAGGGCCAAATGCTGGAAGAAACAGCCTCTGATTTTGTGCTGTCAGGCTTGCTGGAGCAGTGGCATAAATGAGATGGATAGCTACCTTGATTAGCAGGTGTAAATGTGTGGAATTTTTTTTTTCCCGTCTATAAATCAGGGGGTTCTTCATCAAAATTCTCTCATTGCATCCACAATTGGTGGCTCCCCCTCCAAAGCAGTAGGCACGAGCAGATGAAATGTAGTAGTAGCAAAGGTTCTTTTCTGGAAATTGGCAGGAGGAGATTAAAAAAAAAAAAAAAATAAAAAAAAAAGGGTTTCCATCATCGTCCAAATGGGCCAGTTTGTCACCAGAGCCACAGATGGTGCTGCTGTCTGGGTAGGACAGGGGTGTGTTGTGGGCAGGAGGCAAATAAAAGTCGTTTTTGCACAGAGCTATTTTTTTAAAGGCAACCTGTTAAGGGGGATCTGGAGGTTGCAGAGCCAGGCATGTAAATCAGGAGATGACACCAACCTTGGCAAGGGTGTGTTTGTGTTTATGAAAACAGCCACCCCTTCCCATAGTTCAGTTTAATACCGTGCAGGTCCTGTGCACATCAAGTAATATTTGTTTGTTCTCGTGCGCTGCTGCTATTTCCACTGTTGGAGGATCCYGGTGCCTTTATTGACTTAGACTTTTATAGGATGAGGTTCTGTCTCTCTAAGGTATGGAGTTTAATAACTTGGTCAGAACCCATGTAATATGCCATTCCTTTTGCTGTGGCAGCACAGCTTGCCTGCTGCACCAAGCAGGGCAGGAGGCAGTTAACTCCCCAGCTAATTTAGCTCCAGCCTGAAGTGTTACACATAAACAGCAATCAAAACTCGTGCCTGTCAGGGGCCAAGTTCAGGTTATCTGTGCTGTCTTTTCGCTCTCATTTTCTGCCATTAGAGTGTTTAATCCTGCAGCTGCTAATGTTCTTGTAATGGCATTTCTRTGCTTGTCTGAAGAGCACGGGGAGGAGGGAAAGGGATGGGTTTTGATGTAGGGAGCTGTTTCTGAATGCATCCYCCTGACTGGGCCTGTCCCACCAGCGCTGCAGGATTRAACACTCTAATGGCAGAAAATGAGAGCGAAAACCTGCCAYGGCCAGCTCTGGGGCAGTGCCCTGYCCAGAAGGTGACAGCCACTGCACACAGACCACCCTTGGAGCACCCTCGGGACCTCTGTCTGCTTCCTGGCATCAGCTCGTGTGTTCCTTGGAGCTGARCAGATGATAATGAGAATTAAATCTGTGCAGAGCTTAAACTCAGGTGCAATCCTTGGAGGTTAAGCTTGTGATGGATGAGGGTGAGGAGGGTGGCTTGCAGCAGGGGGAGAGGAAGGATAACTGTCAAACTGACTGCAGGTTTTCCCTCYGTGCTCCGTGCCAGGTCAGCTGGGYAGGAGTGTTGAGTTGYTGTTCCTCRAGGGCTAAACTGCTTCAGGAAAAGTTGCCTTTCTCAYTCAGGATGAAGCAGAGGCTCAGGTTTGGAAAGTGCCATCCCCGAAGAGCAGGAGCAGCAGGTGCCAGGGGTAGAAGAGGAGATTTTCAGAGAGCTTCACCAGGAGGTTGGGAATATGGTGCTGCAGCTTGGTGGCTCAGGGGCACTGAGGATGCTCTGCTCAGGCTGTGTGTGTCCAGAGAGGAGGGGACACCAAAAACTGGGATTGCACTCTGGATCCCTTTGGGTGGGAGAGGCAGCCCTGAAACAGGAGAGTTTGTGCCATGCTCACACAGCTGGAACGGTGTGTTTATAGCCCCACAGCCTTTGGGGTCAGGCTGCCATTTGGGCTCTGGGCTTGTCCCCAGGATGTCCCTGTGCAGCTGGGGCACAGCCCTGGCACAGTTCATCTCTCCAGGACAAGGTGAGTGCCAGCATTGGAGGTGCTGCCATGGAGGATGGAATCACAGACACAGGAGAAGGCTGACGAGCAGCAGCTTTGCTCCAGCACTGCCAGAGCTCCTCCAGCTCCTTAAACAAAAGTGCCAGTGACAGCACAGAGCAGCTTCCCTGGGAGCACAGGGACTCAGGGAGCCTCCTCAGCACGCTGTGGGTGGATTAGGGGGATTCTCGCAGCATTATCACCAGGATCGGCTCTCTCCCTAATGAGGCTAACGGGATTATCCTGCCATGCCCACGGTTCATCACACAGCCCTGCTCTGCTGCTCCCAGGCACGGGAGGGTGTGGGTGCAGGGTGAAACCCTGTTCTCCATTCCAGCAGGAGAGTGTAATGAAGAAATAGCTCAGCAACTTCCAGCTTTTCTATTTAAAAAAAAAAAAAAAAAAAAAAAAAAAAAAAAAAAAAAAAAAAAAAAGAGAGAGCTAAAGCCTCCACCTGTTCAATAACACCCTGGAAATAGTGTTGGACCTCCAGAGCTGAGCACTGAGAGCTGCCCTCATTTATACTGAGTGAACAGTGATCCATCCTTTGGCTGGAACAGCTGAAAAATTGCTGTGGATTATCCAACGTGGTGTGTGCCTTGTGAACACAAAGGCAGAGGAAGCACTGTGCCATAGGCAGGATCCTTGTGGGGTTTTGGCTGTGGGAGCAGGATCCTTGTGGGGTGGTGGCTGTGGGAGCAGGATTCTTGTGGGGTTTTGGCTGTGGGAGCAGGATCCTTGTGGGGTTTTGGCCGTGGGAGCAGGATTCTTGTGGGGTGGTGGCTGTGGGAGCAGGATTCTTGTGGGGTTTTGGCTGTGGGAGCAGGATTCTTGTGGGGTGGTGGCTGTGGGAGCAGGATTCTTGCATGGTTTTGGCTGTGGGATCAGGATTCTTGTCCTGGGGGTTGGTGGCTCCTGATTCATTTGTGCTCCCGCAGCAGCCGAGCGCTGCACGGAGGCGTGTGCAGGACCTGTGGAAATTGCATCCAGCTCCAGGTGCAGTTATTTGTCAAACTTGGTTACTTTGGTTGACTTTGGCTTCGAGCTCAGCTCRAATCCCAACTTAGCTGCAGCAGGGCTGAGTGGATGGCTGTGTTCATCTCGGATGTGGTTGCTTTGAACAAAGAGGATTTTGTTTGGCCTTTTGATGATTTGATTTGTTGTAGCAGCAGGTTGAAAAACTCACCCTAAAGAGGGCTTGGAGGTTCAGGARCCCCGGTTTCTGCCACTCCAGGAACTTTTTCGGGTGTTTGTCATTCCCTGGGGGTTAGCCAGGCTCAGCATCCTCCCTGGCTCAGCATTGTGCCTGGGAAGGGTGGGGACAGATGGAAAATAACTGAGTAATTTGGGAAGGTAGATGCTGTTGGGGAGAGGGCAAAAGCTCCTGAAAACCTGCAAGAGCACAGCAAGTCCTGCTGTGGTTTTTGGAAGCCCATTTATCTGTTTGTGGTTCTAGATAGAGGAAGAGACCCTAAACCATCTGTCCTGAGGTGATGGAATCCTTTCTCTTCCAGCAGATTGCAGCRCTCAGCTGGTCCTGTGCTCAGAGCCTTCCTATCCAATTTCCAAAACTCTGCCAAAGGGGTATGGATCACCCTGGGAGACCTGTGGAAAGCTGATCCCCCCTCTCTCCTGCCCTGGATCTCTTCCCCAGCCGGTGCCACCACTTACCCTCTCACTTACTGAAATAAACCTCCCAATAAACCTCCCAATAAAGCCTCGAGCGCCGGCTGTAGCCGCTGAAACTCCCGGATTGGAGTCGATAAAATCAATATTTCTGCAGGTTTGATAGAGTTCCTCCTTCCGACGCCAAAGTGACGGATCAGTGAACAAGGCAGCAGACAAAATAAACCCTCCTGCACCACGGGAAGGGTGCTCACCACCCGTGAACCACCATGGGAGGAGGCTTTAGGGCCATGGGATGCTGATCTCTGTAGGTGCTTTTTCCTTCCTTGCTCTAATTCCTGAGGCAGGAGCCGGTGCCCCACGACTCCCAGCTCTGCTTCGCCAGCACTTTGAGACGTCTCTCATTTGCAGAGCACATATTTGTTATGTAATAAGTGCCAGGAATTAATGATCCACAGCGCGGCTGGGGAAACTTGCGTACTAAGCACCCAAGGAAAAGAAATAACTTTTCCTTTTTTTTTTTTTTTTAAATCACTGATGGAGCCATTAGGACCTGTGTTTTCTTGCACCGAGCCTGCCCCAGCCCCCAGGCACGGCGGGGCCGGGCGCCACCATCTCTCTCCAAACCCTTTCCCTTCGGAGCAGCAATGTTCCTGCCGCTCCCGTTATGAATCATGAGGTTAGCAGCTTTTGACAGATCATAAATCAGTGCTTCCAAGTCGCTAGGACAAATCCCAGGACATTTAATCTTTAATATTAGACGCGTTTGAGGCAGTGAATATTTCATGAAGGTGCTGTTGCATTTTAGCACATCATTAGCCGTCTCTTTTTTCCCCCCACCACTCTTGCCTTTTTTTTTGCTGCCTCTCCCTTCCCAGGCGTCTCTTCCTCAAAAATCTCAGTGGTTGAATCCCCGTTTCACTCCCTCCTGACAATAATGCTCTTTACTGTAATCCTTGGGAGGCATTTTAAGAACTTGCTCAGGATCCCGAGGAGCAGGCAGGTATCTGCCAGCCTTGTCACTGTGATGGGGGTACCCATCTCCCCAGCATCCTCCCCAGGTCCCCACCTCACCAGTGTTTACAGCTCAGCTCTGCTGCACCGTCAGGCACGATGGGGAGAGGAGGGGARTGGGGGGAGAAGCATTGGCAGCAGCTTGTAGCAGAAACTCCACGTGCAAATCCAATTAATCTCTTGATTTTGCTGTTTCTTGCTCCGGGTTATGTATTTCTACCAAACACTGAATCAATGTGGGCCAAGTGCAGTCGGGTTTCTGGTGTGGGAAATGTCTTCTGCTGCTGTCAGAAGGGAGGAGCAGGGTGAGGCAGCACCCAKAGAGTGGAGGGGGTGGGACTGGGAGCCCCTTCAATCTGGGATGGGGGCACAGCACAGGAACTGCCTGTGGAGGATGGAAATTGGGGGCTCTGCATCTTTCAGTGGCAGTTTGGGCTGCAGGAGACTCTGCTCTCTTGTCCTGGTGCCAGGTGGCAGAGCAGAGGTGGGAAGGGGATGTGGGATGGGTTTGTGGTGTCACCTCAGGGATTGCACAGGGTGGACACTGCTCTGCCRAGATCCCTGCTGAGGAGTGAACCCYTGACTGCAGGACTGCACAGGAACACGGGTCAAGAACACACCTTCTGCACTGTGAAAGCCCATCCCCAGCTTCTGTGGGTGCTGCATCATGTAAACACCTCCCTCAGAATACCTACAGGTTTCTTGCAGCTTTCCACATCTCCTTCTCCACACCTCTGGAGGTTTCTGCAGTCCACAGTGCTCCAGGGAGCAGGAGTGGCTGTGAACAAGCAGAGATGGGCAGCAGGGGAGGAGGGCCCGACTGTGACATGCCTCAGGGCCAGAGACATCTCATCTTCTCCTGTTTCCTTGCAGGGGAGTGCAGCTGCCACGAGGGGTACGCCCCTGACCCCGTGCATCGCCACCTGTGCGTGCGCAGTGACTGGGGACACAGCGAAGGGTGAGTGGGGACAGCAGCAGGGGTTGGTCTGCCCTGGCTCCCACGGCAGTGAGGAGCCCACTTCTCCTTCCCAGTGATGATCACTGCCCAGGGATGTGCTCAGCTGCTTTTCCCTTCTCYCCACCCAGGCCCTGGCCCTACACGACGCTGGAGCGGGGATATGATTTGGTGACAGGAGAGCAGGCGCCAGAGAAGATCCTCAGGTGAGTCAGGGAAGAGTTCAGCTGGGACATTTGGGAAGGGAGAGCCATGAGGACATCCCAGTGGATACAACCTCTTGGYCATTCCCAGCTCCATCTTGTGCTGGGATTTGCCACCAAGTGCCATTTAACCCTGACAGACCTGAAGGATTTGTCCATATTCAGCAGGAAGGGAGAGGTTCCCCTCTTGTCCCCTCAGCAAACGTGAGGGCAGCGTGCACAGAAACTCCTCCTGCAATAAAAAAGAAGAGTTTTCCCATCCCCACATTCTCCTGTCACATCTCAAGTCATTCYTCCCCCATTTAGCTTTCAGGATGAGTCCAAATCCCTGACTTATCTCAAGGTGCCACCACTGCTCTGATTTCCAAGTGGAGGGCCAACATCCTGTGGACACTGCTCCTGTGTGACGTGTCTGTCCTTATCCCAGGTCCACCTACAGCTTGGGTCAAGGGCTGTGGCTGCCAGTCAGCAAGAGCTTCGTGGTTCCCCCCGTGGAGCTTTCCATCAATCCCCTTGCCAGCTGCAAGACAGACGTTCTGGTGACGGAAGATCCAGCAGATGTCAGGTAGGAAGCAGATTTCTCATTTTCTTCATGCCTGAGTGCCTGCGCYGCTCTTGAAATTGTTATTGAGGATGCAGTAATTTCTATGATGATAGGTGTGATTAATTTCTTTCCAATAAGAAATCTGATGTGATTGCTCTCTGGGCTCTTTGGGCTGATGGGTCTAGGCCAGGCCTGAGTGTGTAACTCTGAAGTCTGCCATACAGACAGGTGAATTGGTAGGAACCTGTGGCAGGACAATTTGGAAGTGGCTTAAATGCAATATTGGATTGCAGTGCTTAAATGGATGCATTTWCTGGGATGGAGGTGCTGTCATCTCCAAAACTCATACCTGTATCACATCCACCTGGCCACTGATAACTGCTGGGATGCTCTTGAAGGGTGAAAGGCTGTGGTTTTCATCCAATTATTGTACAATTAGAGGGATTTTTTTACCTTCTTAGAATTTAGTAAATGCCTGGATGTTTCACTGATCACCTTTGTGGTGGTGGTTTARTTTACAAGGGTTTAACTGTGAGCTGTAAGGGTTTAATTCTGAAGGCATTTAGTTGGTTTTCCCCTCTCTCCCATTAAATTAGGATTGAGCATGTGACTGCTGGGTGCTTGGGACAGTCTGTGGTCCCTCTTTCCCTCCCTCCCTTCTTGCTGCTTTCTCCTGTTGACTCCAGACACCATTTCCCAACTTGAAAACTCTTGTTTGTGTTATGAATCCCCTTCCTGGGTACCAGCAGGATCCTTGTGTCCCCCAGCCCTCATCCTTGTCTTTTCCCAGAGTGACGAGGTGCTGGGTTTCCATTCCTCTGTCCCATATCTTGGCAGGGCCGTGGTTGAAGCGAGTTCTCACAAAAGCTGTGGCAGAGCCAGGACTGGCATCCAAGGAGTCCTCACTTCCAAGTGTGTGTTTTTGTTGCTAATTAGTGCTTGTTCCCTCTCCTGTGAAAAGAGACCAATGGTACACATCTATCACAATTTGGCTCTTTTAGGAGCGTTGTTTTTCTTGTCTGCAGCAACTTCTGCTTTTCATTTGAGAAAGGGAAGGGCTGCCTTGCTTTATGCTAACATTTTCCAAGCCTAGGTGCCAAGAGAACATTATTTCTTTCTTTCCTCCTCACATGTTCATTAAAAGTACCTCGGTGAAGGTAGAGGCTCAGAAGCTTGTTTTCTGCTCCAGTGCWGTAATTGTCTCTGGGCACTGCTCCTTGTGGAAGAGTCTCTGTGGGGATGGATGAGTGCCAGGCAGGAGGAGGGGAGGTTCTGGCACAGAGGCAGTTGCTTGCTCCCCTCATAAATGCAACCTGGGCTGAGAATTCCAGGTATAAATATTGGAGTGGCTCAGGTGGAGTGAGGGAGGGGCAAGTTCACGGCGCTTGTATCTTACACACAGGAGCTGCTGAATTATTAAAACTTTAATAAACGCAATAATAAATATTTGATGCTGAATTATGGAACGTTTCACAGATACAGTGAGAAGCGAAAAGCAATCTATTATTTCTGCATTAGAACTGAATCTCTTCTCAAACAAGGATCTGCTCAGGATCCTCAGCACCCCGGGGTGGGTGGAACCCTCTTCTGAGGTTCTTGGGTGCTTTCATGCCATGAGAAAGGTACTTTTGGAGCTGTTTATCTTGCAGCCTCTTTGCTTTGTCCCTCTGGACTGACAAAAGCATTGGCAGCGTCTTAAGGGAGCAGTTTTGGTGGTTCAGATGTTCAGGTGGTGGCCCTGATGTCGAAAACAAGGCTCACCTGAAACGAAGGCCAGACAAATTAAGAGAATAAAAGCAGACAAATTTAATCCAGGCCTACAGGTACATTCAGGGCAAACAAAGCCTCCTCCTGAGGCTACACCCAAAATGGACCCTGAGACACGAGAACCTCCCCTTTTATAAGTTCTGTCTTATTAACATATTGAGTCTCAATTCCCCAATGATAACTTCAGGTGATGGTGTCGCCCACCCCAAACTTGCTCCCCCCCAATTCTCTGTTGTTTCCATATTTTGGGGGTCTAAGACAGCAAAGTGTCCTTGGATTCAGGCTCAGAGAGGAATTGTTTTGTCTAAAGATAGGAGAGCAGTAGTTTTAGTGCTGTACTAGAGAAGCACAAGAATACAGATAAATGAAAATATAGAAACTGAAAATCCTAAGGCTGTGGGGCAGCATGTCAGATGAGCGGTGAGGTGTCTGTGTGAGGTGTTCAAACACAGCCATCCCTCTGCCTGGAGGGCTCCTTTTCCTGRCTTTGGGACCGTGGTAGCACTGCAGCCCCTCATGCTGGGAGCTCCTGCAGGTGAATCACAGAATCATCCAGTGTGGAAAACACCTCGAGGGTTGAGTCCATCCTGGGACCAATCCTCACCCTGTCACCMAGCCCAGAGCACTGAGTGCCATGTCCAGTTATTTCCTGAATATTTCCAGTGATAGGAGCACCACCACCTCCCTGGGCAGCCCYTCTCAATGCTKGACAYCYCTTTTTCAGTGAAAAACTCTTCCTGAACGTGCAGTGTTTRTGCTTTAATACARTCTCATGTCCGTGGCAYRGGGCAGACCCGGGGCTGTGTCACASCAGCTGCAGCACAGCCCTGTCTCAGCACCCACCGTGCCCTGTTTGCTGCCCTGTAACACTCTGATGGTGCCTCAGAGCTGTTTCTTCTGTGTCTGTAACAACGAGCGTGCTGCATTCCTGCAGACCTTTCATTAGTCTGACACCTTTGGCTCCGGGGTCGCTTGTCTTGAAGAGTTTAATGGAGGGAAATTGCAGACAGCCTGGTTTGGAGGAAACAAGTGATGAAGTCTTTACAACTCACAGGGTTAAAGGTTCAAATGTGGTCTGGAGTTGTTATGAAGATGCTTGAGATGCAGAGGGACAGTGGGGCTCGGCCTCTCAGCAGCTCTCCGGGGAAATGCTGACTCCAGTGCTGTTCTCCGTGTGTTTCACTGCTGGGCAGGGCAGCAAGCTGCACTTTGGTGGGTGGGGATGAAGGGCCCAAACCTCGTTCCATTTCTGCAGCTGAGTCACTAGAGAAACCTCCTGCAGACAGGAGCCAACAGGCTTCGTGCAAAAATCCCACTGGGAATGCTCCAGGGGCTTCAGGGGACAGGACACGGGAGCGTGCAAAACTTGATGCTGAAGGTTTTAGGGCCATGCATCATAAATTGAGAATGAGAGTGCTTAGAGTTAATGAAACTTGCATATATAATTTATCAGTGAATTTATCAGTGACTTTACTGAGCATCCCTTCCCTGACCCCAGAGTCGGATCCTTCATATAATGATCACATCAGTYGCACTCCTGGGACTGGATCAGCCACACTCACGGTGACCTCTGTGTTCAGAGGAGGTTGGCTGGCAGTGCTGCAGGGCTCTCCCCACACTGGGCAGACTGTCCTTGCAGCACATCTCCTGCCAGGACAAGAAATCCCAGTCCCACCTTACCTTGCTTGTTTTCAAAACCCCTTTTTGTTTCCCTCTCCTCGTTTCTCTCTCTTATCTGTATTTCTCCCATAACGTGGTGTTAAACACAGCAATCTGCAAAATTTTGTTAAACAAATTACTATTGGGTGTTCAGTCCTTCTGCTGGCTTTCCCTGGATACCTTGCCATCCCTGTGTGGCCCTTAGGAAGGTACAGCCTGTCCTGTGGGACCAGGAATTGCTCTAAATGTGGCAGTGTATGGTGAGAACCCACTGCCCCAGCACCGAGCATCCCTGCTGGGATAATAGAAGCGTTCCTGCAGGGGATAATAAAAATATCCCTGCAGGGGATAATAAAGGCATCCCTGCAGGGGATAATAAAGGCTTCCCTTGGGGCACAGTCAGGATCCAGAGGAGGGGCAGAGCATGGCACCGGCAGCGCCCGATGGCCGCGGTTCACTGTGCCACCCGCTCTCAGAAAAGTTGATAATTTCTGTGGAGCAGCTATAAATCAGAGGCACGAGCCTCAGCTGCTGCCTGACATGACATACAGCTCTATCGTTATGGCAACCATAGAAACAAATAAAAGCCCTGCCTTCGCTTGACAAGCCTTTGAGATGTCCTGATGGAGAGACAAGTGTTCAGCGGCAGAATGAATTCTCTTGAACTCGCTGTCGATTCATCTTCGTTTTGCTCCCAAGTGAGCCCCTTTGCTCTCTGAATTCTTTGCCAAAGTACAATCAACTGGATTTTTTTATTTCTCATTTTTTCTCTATTTGTTTGTTATTTTTATTTTCAATTCTCTCAGAGGCAGAGCACTCTGCTCCCCAGCTATGTGCCCTCGTGAGTCCCGTCCTCTGTCAAGGATGGGAGCAAGGCTTTTGCTTCTTGCCCATGGCATTCAGCAGCTCAGCCCTGCTGTGCTTTCACAACCTCACTGCTGCCCCAGCCTCACAGGGGYTTTGCAGTGATATTTTGCAGGGGTTTTCTAGTGATTTGGACACTTGTGATTTTGTGATCACTGTGGTGTGAGGCTCCCTGGGAGCGGAGGAGGATGAAAAGTGGATGAGAAAAGGCAAAGGGAATCTGGGCCAGTGGTGTGGAAACAGCTTTGCTGTCCCTGCTGTTGCAGCAGCAAAACTCATCTGTGTGTGCCTTAACCTCCTGCCTGATCTGCAGGGGCACAGATGAATGGCTGTGGCTGCAGGTGAGCATCTCTCAAGGTCAGGACATGGGCTGGGCTGGTCCCCATGGGATGGGGTTTGGCAAGCARGCAGAGGGCACCCTGCCAGCTCTTCCTGCCGTTTGTGCAGGAGGTGCCATGGGAACTTGTCCCTTTTTCCCCTCTTTTCTTCCTTCTGCCCCCCTGGAGCAGAGCAGGCTGTGATTTCTGGGTGCTCAGTGCCACGGGGGCACCTTTTCCCAGGGTGTTCCTGAGCAGGGTCCTGTGGAGCTCCGGCAGAGCGTCCTGCTCTGTTGGGGCCAGTAAAAAGGTGTGAGTGGCTGCAGGCAGTCGGTGGCTGTGATGAATGGACAGCTTTGCACGAAGGAGCAAATTGATCATTGCATCAGCAGGCACAGCTCACTCATTTCTGCA